CATAAAATTCAATCATGGATTACAAAAAAAAAAACAAACATTTCGATCATAGATTATAAAAAAAAAACAAACATTTCGATCATGTATTACAAAACATTCGATCATGGATTACAAAAAATTCTATCATGGGTTACAAAAAAAAAACAAAAAACAAAAAAAGCGATCATGGATTACAAGAAAAGAAAACAAACATTTCGATCATGGATTACAAAAAATTATGGGTTACAAAAAACCAAAAAATTCGATCATGGATTACAAAAAAACAAAAACAATTCGATCATGGATTACAAAAAAATCAATCAAGTATTAGAAAAAAATCTATCATGGATTACAAAAAAAAAAAAAAATTCCGTACGGACTCGCCGATTTCGTACAGTGAATCGGCGAGTCACTGTGCGGAATCGTCCGGTTCTCTCTAGAACCGGACGATTTCCGATTTTTCAACCGATCCGGTCCCTTTTCGCGAATTCCGAGTCGAACCGGGCGAGTCCGATTCGACTCGGCGTTTTTTAAAACGCTACTAAAAAGTATCATTTTTAGTTTTTCAATTTATTTTTTTACACATTAATAATCTCCATGTTATACTTTGTATATTCCTTAAAAATCAAGTTCAATATTTATTTTAAGAAATGCATTATTAAGGGGCCGTATTTCTGCATTTAAATCCAGGGACTTATAGAAACCGTGTGCGGTTAGCATGCGGCCAGCCCGTACATTGTAAAAATGCAAGCTTGGCAATAAATACATATTTTAAAAATAATTTGATCCCAATTTTTAAGGAATATATAATTTTTAACATAGTGATCATGAATATGATAAAAAAAATTAAAACTAGAAATAATAATTATATGTTTTATACGGGCTGGACCACATTTCTATATATGTGGTCCAAAAAGTGTAAAGCATCCATCTTAAAGATGGATGCAAGTAGGTGTTCCATCTACAAAAACAATGGAACTAGAATTGTTATTTTTAGTTTTTAATATTTATTTATTTATTCATATTCATGATTTCTATATTAGAGATTACGTCTTTAAAAATTAAGTCTTAAAATCCATTTCAAAAATAGATTTATTAAGAGGCCCGTATCTCTACATATGCTGGCTTGGCCGCATGGAAACCGGATCCATAATTATATTAAGAAATCATTTTTACGATTAGGAACATTTTTAGATGTACCACCTATCTGCTTTCATCTTTAAGATGATTGCTTTATACTTCTAGACAGCATATTGTAGAAATGCAGTTCAGCCCGCATGAAACAATTGTCGTTCTCTTTATGCTCCGGTAGTGTAGACCATTTGAACCTGCGGCAATTAGGGCTCCAGTTCGTCTCGCTGCATCTCTCTCGGCTTTTCACGTTTCGTGTCTAGAGAGAGAGAGAGAGACAGAGACAGAGAGACAGAGACAGAGAGACAGAGAGAATTCATTCTCCTTGTTTTGCAGAGATGGAAGCCAAACTAGTCGAAGCTTCCCAGCTATTTGACCGCTTCAAGGCTGCCTTTACAAGGAACGATCTCCATAATTGCGATTCTCTCCTCTCCCAGCTGAAGGTAAACCCTAAATTTCCCCTTATTTTGTCTTTTCCCACTTTCTTGCTCTTCCTTTGAATTCATCTTCTCTCTCTCTCTCTCTCCTTCTCTCTCTCTCTCTCTCTCTCTCTCTCTCTCTCTCTCTCTGTGTCTCCAGATCTGCATCCGTTTTCTATTTGATTTTCCGTGTCATTACATCTCTTAAGCGAAATTGTATTTTCAGACTTTACTGTGCATACTAATAGTTGGGCTGAGTTAATCGTTATAATTTATTTAATAGCCTTAATTCCGTAGATTTCCTTACCTGCAAGTTTTAAGGTTCAGTTGATTCGGTGCTATATATTTCTCGTTAATGGATTCTGACACTCTGTTGTTCTCATGGTTGTTCCTTTATTAGCTGTTTCTATGTAAATATTATTTAGAAACGGCGTTTGTTTTTTTATTAGCTGTTTACAATGGGGTAAAATACTACAAAACAGAGATAGAAACACACACTCTATTGGTATGAAGGAAAACCTATGAAAGAAAGTTCATGTGATTTACATGGTAGAAATCAGTTTTTGGGAACTCAATTACGGGGGCTAACTTTTTACAATTCAGCTTCATCTTTTTTTTTTTGTCAAATTTTTATGTGATAAGTAAAAAGAAGAAGAGACAAAGTGTCTATAGTGGTAGAGTCAAACCACACTCAGAAGGTGGGTTTAACTCTTTTATGTGAGAAGATATTGGAATAGGACACAAATATAAAAAGAGGTCTTGAACCCAGCTCGTCACCGAAGTCATACCACATTGCTGTCATATTGGAAGAGACCATTTAGATGGAAACTCAAAAAATTGCAATTTAGGATAACTCAGACATGTTTTTCTCCTAGAAAATTCACCCACTTGATAAAATGAGTGGACTTGGTGGAGTTTTTGGTACTTAAAATGTTTTTTTATTTACTGGTGAAAATCGAGGAAAATTTTCGATCTATCCATCCTCTCAAATTCATTGATATGTTGTACTCATGGGTCATTATATAGAATTCTCATAGGGATTGCATTGTATCCTGAGCATCCTTTGTTTTGATAACATACCTGAGTTGTAATAAGGTTAGAATTTGCTATTTCAAAAAAGAAAAAGTTATGACTAGATGCTCTTGGTGTTTGATTTGTTCCCATGTCCAATTGATAAGAATCAATTTATATGAATGCAGTGTTACATATGTTTATGTTTATCTATGAAATGTGTGAGCAGCAATTGAGCTTGAAATTTCTCTCATGGAATTGTTAGGTTGTGCACGACTAAAAGATTATGTTTTTTAATTTCAAATTGGAGCCAATCCCAATGTATGTGTTTATGCGTCTTCCATGATAGTTTTTAACTGAATAAATCTGGCTAATAAAAATAAAACCATCATTCTCTAAACATGTTGCAATAAATTGATTACTGGTTTACTGTTGATGTTATTAGTTTGATGTGAGTGTATTAATTAAGTTAGTATGGATGGTGAACCATTCTTTAAGACTCCATTTTGTTCAGGGAGCTCTTTTCTTTAGATATTTCCTTTTCACTCATATGGTTCAAAATCATGATGGAATCCTCTGTGAAAGTCGTAATCCTTAGTGCTATTGACTGGTCTATTATTGAGCAGACTGTTGCATATATAAATTGCTCGTCAATTACAAATGCATGGGGTGCATGAAATGAGTGCATCACATCACTTTTGGAATAAATTTGCTATGTTAACTAAGAATTGGAAAAATGACTGCTGGTACATTCATTTTATTTGACTTTTAGAATCTGCATTACTTGCCCATGTGGTGATAGTGAGACTCCTCTTATTTACAGTTCCAAAGTAAAATTAAAATTTCAAAACTCAAACTGCAGCTCCTACTAGATCTAATCCTTGTTTATGCTCTGTTCTTTTTCAGTTTCTTTCTTACATTAAACCTTAGCTGCTCCTGTGCTCATTTACCTTTGCTATGAATACTTGAAGTGGTATGGTTATTTGCATATTATTATCCAATTTACAACTTATTGTTCTGTAATTTTACTTGCAGGTCTTGTTAACGACATTCCCTAGCCTTCCTCCGTTGTATCGGGAGTCACCCACCGCAGTTCATGAATTGACTATTGCTAGTATGCTTCATAAGTGACACAATAGTGTTTCGTTTAGATTTTTCTGTTATATCCTGAGTTGTTTTTTGAAAATGTATTTAGTGGTTCAAGTTTGCTTTAAATGCTTTATTCTTAGATAAGCAGGGAAATAGTTGAGCAATATTATGATCCAACTTTGTCTCTATTACGTACAAGAGAAATTCAACCTTTGCTTTCATTTCTTTTCCTTGAAATACTTGCATAAGTGCGGTGGACTTTGTAGTTGTGATTTTTATCCATGAGTTTTCGCCTATCAGCTGAATGAATTTGAAAGTTGGACCACATTTTGTTGAAGTTTGGACAATGTGAACTGAAAATAGGTATTTATTCTGATTTGTGACCTGATACTTGTAGAATATGGGTGAAAGAGACTTGAACTCTTGACCTCCAGGGAACACTACTTGCAGGATTTGTGTTTTGATTGCTATTTCTTTTGTAAAAGGCCACAGTTGTCAATTATAAAAGCAGACCCAGTCACTCATGTTTGCAGTCCCATTCTACTTACTGGAGTGGGCTTTGACATGGCTTAGTAATAGAGTGGTTAGTAGTATTTCGTGGAAACTGCAATTTGAGGATTCCTTTTTTGTGGAATTATGATGCATGACCTTGGATGTCCCAAAATTGATGGATGTGTCTTATTCTTTCAAATTGACCAAAATGCTAATGTTGGGTAACATTCCACCCATGATAATCTTGGAGAAACTACTAGCATGTGTAATGCTAACTGCTGTTCTTTCTGAGATGATGTCTCCCTTGTTTGGAAATTATCAAAACATTGTTCATTGTCCAGCAGGCAAGTCTCGATTAGTATGGTGCAGGCATCACTCAAATCAGATGCATTTAACAAATTTCCTTGGGCATTATTTGGTTTTTGATGTACTGAAATTGGTTTGGCTTAATCAGACTTTTATTAACTGTAGGATGTTTTGTATGGTACCTTAATTAGCAATTGGTTAACTTCAGTGTGGTATAAGAAACGAGACACTGGAGGATTATACAATTACAGAAGAATTATGTGTTTGTCTCTTGTTGTTAGATTGTTACATGTAGTGATATAACACGATAGAAGTAACAATTTAAAAAGAAAACAGAAAGGAAAAGGTCAACTCAAGTAGGGACCGCTAGGGTCCTGAGTCATCTGGTCTGACTTGGCGACTCTGCATTGGACCGAGGAAGCTTTAACAAAAAAACTTAAAAGAATTATTGGAAAGGGGAGACTCAAGTGATTCTGGGTTTTGACTGGGGATTGCTCCATACCCTGATCTTGGACAATTTGGACGATTCCCAAGCTGGACCACCTTAGTCAGCGCTGCGGATTTTTAGGCGCTGGTTAAAACTATATTTATTGCAAGCCAAAATTCATGTTTTTCCAAATGTTTACCACCACAAGTGTCCAAGGGAGAGGGGTGGATTCAGCTTTGATGATTTTCTAATCTGGCATGCTGAAGGAGCACTTTTTTGTTTTTTTTGTTTTTTCCTGGAGTTGGAAGGAGCTCTTACCCAATGCGAGGTAACTGTGATCCTCTTCCTATCTTTATTATTATCGTTGTCATCGTTAGTGGATATGATACAAGGTAGAAAATTATGAGAAGATGCTCAATGAACCAGTAAAAAGCAATTTGCCCGTCTTGAAAGCCACAAAAATCAGCACAATTGAGATACCACAATGTACGCCAAACCCTGAAAATCAAATTTGGTCTTGTGGCATGAACATAACAAACCTAGGCATAGAATGGCACCTAAGGGAGCAACAAACTTTTTTTTGTTTTATATCCTTTTCTTTAATTACAGCAGACCATGCTAAGACCTCAAAAACCAAACTTGAGACCATATAGAAGTTGTACACCCACCTTAAACTTCTCACTTTCATTGCTATTAATGTAGCTGATCCATGCACTCAAATGGTCCATCCAACTCCACTACTTTCGAGCATTTGTATTCTCTTCCTTTGACTGCTTCTCACTTCTCATATGTCAACTTGTCCACTCCTCACTTTATCAAGGAAAAACTTGCCTGACCTTCCCATTTCTTACCACATCTATGGATATTCTTTTTTGCCGTTTAGTAAAGTCCCCTTTCAATTGATCATTTATAGTTTTTTATTGTGTTCTCCTTTGTATATAACACTTTTGATATTCTTTGCCTGTAACAGTAATATTTTTGTTGTTTTTCTCCTTGTGTATGACACAATGAGGGGTGTGTGTATGCGTGCAAGCATGTGCGTGCGTGCGTGCAGGTATGTGTTATATATAGTTTATCCCCAGGTGCTCTAGATTATGTGCTTTTCGGAAACTTCTAGTTTTGTCTCCATACTCCTGCTTCCATTAGATGAAAATAAGGTTCTTTCTTCATGAATAGGACTATGGCTTTGTATAGATTATGAACAATACAAATATTTTTTTTACCCCTACTGCGTTAGGTGGTTTTGTTTTACTTTATTTCGTCCTGTGTCTTTTTCTTTGGACTTGGTCACGTGCCTCGGTGACATTTTGTACTTTGACCCTATGGGTCTTTTTTTATTTCTCTTATCCTTCAATACACTGTTAACATTATCAAAAAATAAATAAATACAAATATTATGAACAATACAAATATAAACAAATGTTTTGAAGGCCTATGGACCTTTCTGCAGCTAATTTCCCTTCTTGATTAAATTATATTGGAATTTATAGCCTTAGAGGGACTTGGATCACCCACAGGTTGTTATGCTTTTATTCTTCTCTTGGTCGTTTACTGATGCCTTGACTGTCAGACATGGAACATGCTACTTTGGTTTGTGATACAGAATCTGCTTTGCTCTCATTTATGATAGTTTGAAATAATCTTTCTTGCTGGTCACTTTTTTTTCCAATCTAATCTCTTTGTTTTAGTTTTTGCTTAACTGATATATGTCATGCAAAGCTTTTCTGAGTGAGGGAAATTTCAGGGGACATCTTTGAGCATGCTGTGGTTCTTAGTGTGAAGGCTGAAGACCAAGATGCTTTTGAACGTGACTTCTTTCAGCTGAAACCTTACTATACTGACACAAGGTAATATTTTAGTATGTATTTTGTTCGGAATGTAAACTTTTGCATACGAGTAAGTCCTACTATTATAAGCTAGATATTAAGGCTCAAGAACTGAGTACAAGTATCTGCTGCTAATTGGTGATGATATCATGGACCAAGGAAACATTGAACTCAATTCAAATAGATTTGTTTTGGCAGTTTTAATCCCAGATGTCCTGAAGATGGTTAATACTTCTAACTTTTTGTGGCAAACATTACTGTTGTAGGTGATAACTTAGATATTTGAATACTAAATTTGGGAAACATTAGATTGGGGGATTGTCTTTCCCAAGTTAGAAATCAAACTTGGGATGTACTTTTGTGACCAAGACCAAGCCCAAGCCCAAGCCCTAATCCTAAACAGAAGCTGATAACTGCGATAGAAGTCATTTCCTTCACCCCTCCTCCCCCCCCAAAGAAAAAGCAAAGAAAAGAAAACAACCAACCAAAAAAGAAGAAGAAAGGAGAGCGCTACTAGTCATCCTATAATAAAATTCACTGTTAAGAGTTATTCAATTTGTAGTCTCTGTGTAATGGCATGGACTGTTGTTACAGTGTATAAATTAGAACATAATAGCATTCCGCAATGTGCATCTTGTTGGTAGGGGATTATATCGAGTTTCTTGGCCTTTGTTTCTGATGATAATTCTTTCAGATTTTTCAAGTGTGCCACTCCTGCAACTTGAGATGGAAATACCACTAGGGGGTAGAGCCTGTTTTTTGTTCTTTTTTTCTAATGCCCGTTGTGGTTCTCATTGATTCAAAGGTTCAACATAAAATTTGGAATATGTTAATTTTTGAAGCATCAGATTCCTACACTAGTATTGAGAGTGAATAACATGGTAGTATGGTACTAAATTTTGAGTATTAATTACGATCTTGTAGCCTAACAAATGAAAGAAGCTGGAAGTAACATAAAACTGTTAAAGCATTCACGTTTGCTTTTCCATATGTCAAGCTAGAAGTAACATAAAACTGTTAAAGTATTCGTGTTTGCTTTCTATATGTCAAGCCCTTATGAGACAGTTAGCATTTTCCTTCTCTCTCCTTACATGTCCGAACTGTGGATTTTAACTTTCTGTTTTCATCATATTGGTGAGTCAGAGTTGGTTCTTGTCTGAACATGTATTAGTTGCTTGTCTCCATAAAATTTTGTAGGGCAGACAAATTTTCTGATTACTGTACCAAATTTATTTGTTTATTTGTTTATTTATTTATCAGAAAACACTTTCTGCTTCGTGTTCTATTTTTAAACTTTATCATTCATGAAGTATAAAAAAGGAGAAGTCCACAAATTCATGTTTTCTGATGGGCTTTGATTTTGCTGGTACAGGGGCCTCATTCCACCCTCACCACAAGAATATCCAATCTTGGGTCTTAACCTTTTAAGGCTCCTAGTCCAGAATAGGATTGCAGAATTCCATACTGAGTTGGAGCTGCTTTCACCTACTGCACTGGAGAATCCATGCATCAAGCATGCTGTGGAATTGGAGCAATCTTTCATGGAAGGTGCCTACAACCGTGTTTTAAGTGCTAGGCAGGCCGTTCCTCATGAAACTTACATCCATTTCATGGATCTTCTTGCAAAGACAGTCAGGTAGAATAACTTTTTTAGTGTGCGCTTAGATTAGTTCCTTGTATGCAATCTAAATGATCCGGAGTGAAAACTTTTGATTAATTGCTTCTGTGCAATTTGCAGAGATGAAATAGCTGGATGCAGTGAGAAAGCATATGATTACCTTTCGATTGAAGATGCAAAGCAGATGTTAATGTTCTCATCAGACCAAGAATTGGCCCAATATGTTGCAGAGGTATGGGGATTCCTTGTTGAGAGATTACAGATAATTTTGAGAGAGACTTGATAATTTTGGTTCTATCTATTTTTGGGAGAAACATGCATGTATTAGTGTAATGTTTGGTAACAGGGTTATCTTATCTACATAATGTGGCTGATTCATGAGTGAAGCTCATTGTGGGCTGTAGTTTGTAAGATCATAATGCATTTGTGGAATCCTACGCAGGTAGGTAGGGAGAGAAAGTATGGTATGATTCCTAGAATGTCCAGGGTGTGAACTGTAGTGATAAAAAGTTGTATTGGCTTATATTATACATGCAGTAGTTGGTCAAAGACTAAGATGTCCAGAGACAATTAGATATATGGATAGAGATACTAGGAGCTTGCTCCTATGAGCTAGGACACATATAGACACAAATATATTATCCAACTCATTTTATAGATTATTTTCATCACATGCACATTATATGAAAGTAAATGTTTTTTTTGGCCGACCTTCCTATATCCATTGTGGGCGAACCATTGACTTGCATGTGTCACCACTTATGTTTCTGAAATTGTACAGTTTAATTCTTGGTTATTTTAGTTTGAAGCCTTATAAACCATTTCAAACTCACAGATTCACATGTATACATGGACAACCATGCTAGTGCAGACTCACGGAGATGTAGATAGGAGTGTGTCTTGAGATTAATTTTATTGACCTTTAACCAAATTTCTAGACATTTAAAGGTTTGCTGTTGATTGTGATTCTGTTATCATTAAGATTCCTGAACTGTGAAGTTCGTACTATGTAAATGATTTATTTATAGGTCTGTTTTCCATAAATGTTACTCTGATAGTATGCAACGTGAAGAATGAAGGAAAACGTGAAAATGAAAGAGAATTTGGTACCAAAGATTTTACCTTGGTTTTACTTATGGACTTTGTTCTTTATAAACTAGAGGGACCATGTCATATGCTACAATTTTGAATGATGAAACTATCTCGGAGATGTGTAATTTATGAAATAGGATAATTCTATCTGAGCTTCTTCGGAAACTTGTTATCTGATATATCTTGTGATCAATGAAATTTGTGCAGTTCTCACTTGATTTCTCAGTTATTTAGTAATTTCTGCATCACCTCCATCCTCATGCAGTATTCCATCTTCTATCTTTGATTTGTTGTCTAGCATTTCTACCCGGAAAAAGTTGATGCTTTTGAATGCTTTATAATTTCACATTCTTTTCTTCATATTGAAGTCAGTTGTTTCCCTTCTACTGCATGTGTGTTAGCAAGTAGATTTGTTTTGAAGAATTTAAACAGTAGGCGGTTATTCTTGTTTTCAGGAGCACCCAGAATGGGAGATAAGGAATGGCTGTGTGTTCTTTCAAAAGGCAAAAGAATCTGCACCATGCAAAGAGATCCCATCACTTCAGCTCATTAACCAAACGCTTGGGTATGCCAGAGAATTGGAGCGAATTGTCTAGAAACCGAGTAGCCTCAAGGACCTTTTACCTAAAGGATAACATTTACAATTATTTTGAATTTGCTTTACTGATTTTTGTATTATGCCTTTGTTTTAAATCTTTTTCTTCTTCTTGATACTAATCAGGGACCTCTCTCTCTCTCCCTCTGATTGCGTTGCTTCCCTTGTTCCATTACCATACCATTTTACTGCTCCCTCTCCTCTCCCCCTTCCAATTATCGTAGTCTCTCTCTCTCCTACACTTTCCATTGCCGTGTGCTTGAAGTTTAAGGGGTTGTTTAGTTCTGGGTTGGAAAAGTTCCAGGTTTTATCTAAAGGAAAATTGTTTCATGCGGGCTAGGCGGCATTTCTACATATGCAGTCCAAAAATTGTAAAGCATCCATCTTAATGTGAACTAACCGTCCGAATGTTTTCTTACAAAAATTATTGTTTTTAGTTTTTACATTTTTTTTTTTTTTCATATTCATAATCTCCATGCTAGAGATTACATGACCTTAAAAATTAAGTCTTAAAATCCATCTCAAAAATAGATTTATTAAGAGGCCTGTATATTTACATATACGGGCTTGGCCGCATAGAAACCGGGTCCTTATATAAAAACTCATTGTTTTCATCCAAAGTTTTCGAAACCAAAGCTTCCTGCGTATTTTGGAATTGTGGATTCATGGGTTTTTAGTGTTAAAAAGGTCCTTCCTATTTTAGATTTCAGAAACTTTTGATATCCACAACCATCCATGCGTTTCATCTTACACCTCTCGTAAACCAGTGGTATGTTATCAAATTGAAAAAGTACATGACAAGATCATTAACCTAAGGACGTCAAATCTCATTGGCTTTTGAATATGAAATCTGGCAGTTGAGGGTCTACTATTGATTGGGTTTAAAGTTTTAAAAATATTGTTGTCTTCATCCGAGCATTTTTTTTTCAACTATGGGTTTATTACATAAATTTTGTTGTCGTCTATCATGAGCAATATTGTTAGTTAGATTATAAGTCATCATATTTCTTTTAATTAGTTTTAATAATGTATTTTTAAGCATTTCTCTTATCTTTTTAGAGCCTATATTAAAAATTTGGACGAAATTACCTTTTGTATTAGGTCTACTATAGTTATTAAGTCTGTTTGAAACACGATTACTTGAAAAAATCTTTGATTTTTTGAAATCTGTTAAGAACTACAAGTTTTTCAAAAGATCTTTAAAACAACAAATTCTTTTAATAGAATGGATATAAATTTTTATTTTATATTTTCTCAAAAAAAACTTTTCAAAAAAACTTCTTCCCTATAATTTTATTTTTTTATTAAATTAATATTATTGAATTTTGATTTAAAAATGAGTGCATTAACCGTGGGAGTAAATTAAGAATCATGATTTAACAAAAAAATTCTATAAAACATTTCACCATTGAGCTCCCTTAAAAATTGTATTTCTCAAAATACTAGGCCAAATTAGAAGAAGAGTAACCAATCATGTTTTCTGTTCTTTAAACCCATGACATCCTTATAAAGAGCAAATGAGAGATTCAATGACAAGATTTAGGTAGCTAAACATTCAATACGAGATTCGAATTTGCTCAAGCATTTTGTTTTTTTTTTTTTATGCATAGAGAAGTTTGATTTATTTTATATTTTGTTTTTTATTTTTTATTTCATTGTTGTATACAACATAGCATTTTGGATGGATCACTATTTTACATATTCGGGTTTTTACATTTTCTTTTATTTAACTGCAATTCTATATTGATGATGCTTTTGCTCTTTTTTATTGAAAAGTAATCCCATATTGTGGTTTATAATGCTTGTTATTTGCTAATTAGTTATTGTTTCTAGTATTATTGTTGTTGTTTCATTTTGTGCTCCCAATAAACCTACAATATGTTTTGTGTTGTGACAAAACAGTAAGCCTTAGTTGCTGGATTTATTGAAAGTTTCAACAAAAATTGTCTAGTATTACTCTGGTGACACTAGTAAGGCTATAAAATAATTGTTTAATGGTTTTAATGCATCCATACAATAGCTGCAAATCATAATCTTATATTGTGTCATCATTACATGTACGATTTATTCACTATGTTATTTTGAACCAAATCTGAAATATTCATGATTCTATAACTTATCTTATTTTTTGACCATTTTTATTTTTTTACCTGATTTCTTCCCTCGACTTTTTGAAATAAAACCGATTTATTACTAACGTTTTGGTCTGTCGATATTTTATTATACCCCGACTTGCTAACTAAACGTTGTATATGATCAACCCACCTAAGTTTATTTTCTTAATTGTATCACCTATTGGAAAGAGGATGCCGAGAGGCGAGATAGCTATAGGGAACGTTTGGTTGGCAGGTCCCATTTGCAGTGCAAGTGTTCAAATTATGAATAGGTGTGGCAGAATGAGAAGGACCACATGAGGTTGGTGGTATGGAGGATTCAGTTAAAGAAGTCAAGGTCGGGGTTGGTTCAAGAGAGGGAGATGTGTTCGGTGAAGAGGGAGCCCTATTAGTATCATGTAATGGAGTAGGCATTTCAGAGAGAGGAACATTGAAGTCCTCCTATGGCAAGGGAATGGAAGGAGGTGGATGGAGAGAAAATATGGCACAAAAGATAAATGCGACTAATGACTAGGTCAAGACATCTGTATCTTTTGTGTTGAGAGCCGCAACCAAAAAAGCAAACAAGGAATAGATCACGGCTCCAAGTTATCAGAGTGAACATACCAAAAAATATGGCATTAACATCTAAATATGCGCCAAAATATTGTGGTCAGGTGGGATACCAAACAAAACTTCATGCGGAGACATATACCCCGAAGTTGGTAGATGATTTATTAGAAAACTGGCCATGGAGAATGTCTCCATTCAAAATCGCCGAGGCATGCAAATATGGTGAAAGAGCGTAAGACCAGTCTCAACAATACGATGATTCTCACACTTCATAGGAGGATAACCACCTAATGAGGAGAGGGTAACAGCTCTCCACTTCCTTCTTATGAAGTAAGCGTAATACATGAAAGGAGTGTGGTCCACATAGGTGTGCCCTTTCATTAGGGACATACCTTATATGCTTACAACAATACATCGATAATTAAAAGTTAAATTTAACAAAGTCCATAATTAGTGCTTTTTTTTTTTTTTACAATTTAGCTATTTCTATTATTTCAAAGTGATAATTATGAGCTATAAAATGTAATTATGTAATACTATTAATCAATAAATAAAAATAAATTTAAATGATAATTATTTGTAATCGATAAGGAAGAATATAAGGTCACTCACAATTTCGATAATATGCATGACACTTTAGACAACCAAATTAGTAGTTACATTAGTCTTGCCATTCGGAATGAAAATAATTAATTAATTAGAAGAGTGAGTGGCCAAAATTTTTATTTACTGAAATGTTAAACTTTGTTCCAGTTTCAATATTCCTTTGTAGCAAATATAATGATAATTAACAATCAAATTTAATGAATTTTTTTAAAATTGGATATTGGTTTTATTTAAATTAAATTTCAGCTGACTTTTATGTATAAATAAAAAGCTAAAATCAGATGAAAAATGAGAATTTCTTTTTAAAAATTATAATGGGCCATTATTTCTAGGAAAAAGTTTATATAAGGATGCAACCTTATAATGTGGAACTACGGATGCTCCTCAAAAATCCATCAGAAAAGGTAGTTTTAATGTTGAAAACCCCTTTGATTGATCATCTCAACATCGAGATGTATGACTATGAAAAATAAAAAGATTTTAAATCTAAAAAATAATACGTTTTACAACATCTTATCTACACTATATGTTACACCATTTTGAAAAAGTATAATATGTTACACTATATGATACATGAAATGATATGTTCATAAAGACTTGATATACTATATCTCAGGAACTCCAATAAGCCTCTTAATTATCATATGACTCTTCTTAACTATCATACGACTCTGATACTATGTTAACACCTTCTTATAACAATGGGACATTCACCCAACTTTTATCTTATGTTTGTTTTTGACAAGGTTACACGTAAGAATGGAACTTAAGACGTTAGACTATGAAAACCTAATCTTTGCTGTCTCATCACAAGCCTGTTAGACCAAGTTTTTCTTATGTTATTTATTGCATATACTTTATTTCATTGAGTTTCATTCTTCAATCAAAACAAAGTTTTACTTATATGTCAACTTAGATATAATTTGCGCCCACACACACAAATTGAGAGAGAGTATAGTTTTAAAGGGGAAACAGAGAGTAGGGGTTAAGAGAGAGGATGTTTAAGTTTCCTCTTTTAGAGAGAGAGAGAGAGGGGTGCAATATTGGTTTTTTTTACTAGTTCAATTCATATTCCATTTCATATGGTTTATGGCCAAATTTTAGGGTAGCCTACCATGTTGTATCCAAAATAGAAAAAGCCACAAATTATTATTATTATTTTAATTTTTATCGTGGCTGTACTTGCATGGTTATATGCCTTCTTTTTTTTATTTTGGGGTGCCCCTAGGTATTTTGGTTAATTTTAAATTTGAAATATTTTTTATTAGTTTTTTTATGTGCGCTAGGGGTGCACCAATTTTCATTGAAAATAAATTTCAAGGAAAATTTTGAAAATAAAAATAAAAATAATTTGTGACTCTTTATTTGGTCAGGATTAAATCCGAACCATGGGAAATACTATTATTCAGCCGTACAACACATACTGATTTTTGTTTTTTTCGGGTTAGTAAACACATATAAATTTGAGTTATTAACATCTTTATTTAACTTTATTGACAAAGAAACGACCCCGATTTATGGGGTAAGGGATATTTCACTAGTGAGGAAATTATTCCCTTAATTAAATAATGTTTGCTTATTCCCAATGATCTCTCCTTTTATCTTTCCAGGTTCATGGAGTAAATTAGTCGGCAAATGCCAAGTGCAATGGACCTCACTGAAGAGATATGTAATGGTCAATGGGCATTACCCATGAGTCATTTCCTCTTGGAATCGGTCCTTGAAGCTCGATTTCTGCGCTGAATATCTCAACGAGTTTATATCTTCATCTTACCTTTATTCTTGCGCTATTTTTGAGACGTGCCGTTTCACAATTATATTTTATTTATGATGATGTGATAGGGAATATTTTTCAACACAATTATTCCCTTTAGACTTTAGAGTGATTTACATACGGACCCTTTAATTTTTTTTAAACTACG